GAGAGAGAGAGAGAGAGAGAGAGAGAACGAGTAGGTGAAGGAGTGAGTGAGTGAGTGAATGAGTGAGTGAGGGAGGGAGTGAGGTATGTAGGGAGTGAGTGAGTGAGCGTTTGTAATATCAATAATAATTATGGTCAGTATCGGCCTACTTTAGAATTGCTCAATAAAATACAAATTTAGATTGATACAGACGTAACGTTTTAATTGCATCTCTATACTTCATTTCAGATACCTGGCAATTCTTCAGTGCCAATCGGAGGGCCTCAAAATTCGAAAAGAAATGCAGACAACAACTACAACGGAGTCTACAACTCAAGCCTGATTGAATACAGAAGATTTCGTCGTTTAAAAGGACAGGGACTGTATTAAGAAGAAAAACAAATGCAACCAGGATCGAAAGATTAACATTGAGGACTTCTTTGCGTTAATAAAATATTCTCATTTGTCTAACTTCAGATAAACATTCTAAAAAAACATACCACAGTTTGTACGTTGTTTTCGGGGTTGAGTACTTGCTTAAGAATATAGACAGACAGTGATTCAAAGAGGGTGATTCAAAGTAAACACTCCACATACACATATTTCTTAAGTGTTATTTTCATTATCTGTAACGGTGCACTTTCTCGAATAGGATGTGTGCATATTTACGCCATCTACGTCGGTTTAATACATCCACCCTAACTACACTATCTGAAGTGGTAGAACCCACAAAAAGGAACATCATGTTTTGGTGTGCGCTTTTTGATAGATTATATTGACATTGGATTGACATTCATGGTTTGGACGGGGTTTTTTAATGGCACTGGAACAAATGACAGACAATACGATGTGGCTTACTTCGGCTACATCTCGGTTTTTTTGGCTGGAAAACTAGAGGGAAGACGAGGCAGGGGTACTCCAACACCAGTAATATCCAGATCACATATGTGAACATATGTGAAGCGTTCTGACAAAATGAAGTACTACTCGGATTAAAGCCTCATGGAAAAAGATCATGTTTATAGGTGAAGTTTTTACAGCATATTAATATGAAATAATAAAAAGCATGTTATAGTTAAAGAAAATGGCATTAATAAAATGTCTACAAATTTGACCCTTAGTGTGTCGATTTTTGGCCAATATCTCCATTTGTGGAATTGCGAGAAGTAACCCATTTTGTCAGCACGCCTCACATATGGATATCATGCAGTTGCAAGCGCCGTAAAACACTTACTCCCCCCCCCCCCCCGCCAAAAAAAAACGAAACATATGGGTGGCGGAAACAGTCCAGGATGTCGTAGAGGGGTGTTTTTTTGGGGGGGGGGTTGGGGGGGGGTTGGGGGGGGGGGTTAGAGTAAGATCTTAAGAGCACTCAAGCAAAGAGCGAGCTTGTGGCGAACCATGATGGTCGATGACGTCTGTTTCGGATCTTGCACTTGACTTGAAAAACTCGATTGGCGTAAGTGGGCCGTGGCGTCTGCGCCATGATTCATAATTGCTTCGTCTCGTGAATCTATTTTATTTACCAATAAAACGATACCAGGAGCTGCTGTGCCTTCAAATTATGTGAGGCATCGCAGTAAAATCAGGCGCTCGTCAAAATAATGAAATCGAAGGAACAGGCATTTTCCAGCCAGTTTGTTAATTTCTATTGAATTTTTGGTTTTTTGGCTCAACGCCTTTTATGTCCATATAAAAAGACATTTTCATGTGAATCTAACTGGGAAACTTAGATTAAAGGCGCAAAATGTGTGAATTTCCATTATTCAAGGACTCTTAAGCTATTGAAAGTACCAAACATTGGCTGCCGTTTTCTAGCTTATTTTACCTCTGAAACCAGGGCAACCCCAACTTACTTCGATTGCAAAAATATTAAGTCAACTTCTATTCAAGATAGATGGGTATTTTTTTCCATCGAAAGCAAGGCAAATGCATAAGCTTTCAGATAAATCCAATAACTCCACATGCTCAAAAATTGACGAGTTCCTGATTCCACCGCGTCGTGACACATTTTATGTTCATCTCTAGGGATATCTTGTTGTGAATTATGTTCGTACTTAAACAATAAAACGAAAATAACAAACAAACCACACAAAAATAAATAAATAAATAAAACGAAATAACAAAAAGGAAACAATTTTACCTTTTATAATTGTTTGTTGTTTTTTTGTTTGGGGGGGGGGTGGTTACAACAGGGGAAGATGCATTTTCTGATTTTAAAAGAAATCTCTTCTTGCATGAGTGTAAAAAAAAAAGCAACATGTATTGTATTTTAATTGCCTTCTCCATTTCCCCCAACAACTAATATATTATTCCAAATGTTTTTGTTTGTTTAACCCCACTATTGTTACCCTTTTCTCTAATTTAAAATTTGTTTTTTTTAATTGTACGACATAATAGTAATACTATTGCCATGTTTCTCTGTTCCCCTTTTTGGGCCATTCACTTTGTATTTATTAAATTCTATTAATGGATGAAACGTATTCCTCGTTGTTCATTGATCAACTTATTTATTCACTTTGACGAAGTTAATATCTTATGTTATTATTATTCTTTGTCCTCAATTAATATTTTTGTTGTGTGTTTGTCTTGCTTACTATATAATTAAAACCAGTTACTGACAACTGCTCTAAGAAAGGCTACAAGGGGCTCTCGTGGCCTAGAGACTAATGTATTCGCCTCTCATTCAAAAGTCCAGGTAGCAACAGAAAACATTTCTTCTCTAAAATTTTCTCCTTTCACCTTCTTTCCTGCTCTCTAGCAATGTTCTGTCGTCTGCTTTTGTCTCCACTTTCAGCCTCCACCCTCTCACCTCCATTGCCCCCTCATCTGGGCTCCTGACTCTTTCTACAGCCTTTCAACTGCCACTCCTTGGCTCCTTCTTACAGCTGTCTTTAAGCTTCGCCCCTGATCTACTTGTAGGAAAGATCTACACCTAGCCTTCTCGAACAATGGTGAAACATTTTGGAAGTCCCGTGTGCAAGATGCGCACGTTAAAGATCCCTTGGTGGTCTGCAACCGATAAGAGTAAGTTTCGCCGTCACCCGGGCAAAATCCAAAATTTCCTGCCAACTGAAAATATTAGGTGTGTCCCGCGCGCTCATATGACCTTATGCAGTCGCGAGCGCCGTAAAACACTTACCAAAAAAGCCCAACAACAACAAACAAAAAACAATACAATGGTACGTACCATAGGACCAACTCATCAGCATCAAATCTTCTTTTCCTCTTTGAGCACATTCACTCTTTTTCTGCGATTCTCTCTATACAATGTTGCAAACTCACATACCAGGAGTCTAAAAAAGAGGGACCCATTCAGGGGTGAAGGCTGACTTGTTTGACAGGGTAATCAAAGTGAGATGGAACCAGATAGGGCGTGGAGATATCACACACGAATCTTACTAGAGGCACCAACATTGAGTTGTGAATGAAAACAAATCCTGAATTCATGTTGTATGCATGTTCAACCACTTAATCGGGAAAGTATCTCATTAAATATTTATTCCAACTATCATTAAATCTATCTTTAGATGTGAATACATTGTACACAAACACAAGGCAAAGAAGAAGAGATTTCAGTACTACACGTAATTTTTTTGTAACACCAGTGAGTCTATCTCTTTGGTAGAACATGACCATTTTTAGTTTTTTAGTTCACATTTGGCTGTTTTTGTCTAGCGTTTCGCGGACAGGAGCCGGTGCCATAATCGAGGTCACGATCTGATTATAGGACGGTAAAAAGTCGAGGAAAAAACAAGAACTCGCAGCAGTCAAGATATTATTAGGAGTTAATTCCCCTCACGTCTGTAAGGGAGACTCGACCACTGTAATACATTATTTTTGTAGTTCGCTGACATATTCAGTGCTTGTGACTGCTTATAACTGTGGCCCGAAAGGGTATATGTGGCAATGAAACAGGTTAGAGTGCTGTATACATGTTCCCTTCAACTCTTTTGGCAGACTCTTCCAGCCTCACTTTAAGCTTACTTAATCAAAGCTTGCGACTGTTTTGAATGTTAGGCATACTGTTCATTGGTGATTATAAACTTCTTTTTACATTTAATTGATGAGGTTTACGTCTATAGGTAAAGTTGACTGCGACAATGTTTCAAAATTAGGAAGGGAAGCTGTGATTATTTGATGATATAGACGCTTCGCCACTGGACCCATTTATAATGAAAGGTCTGTTATCTTAGGATTAGTTTCAATTTTAAAAATTTCGCTCAAATAAAAAGAAAATCAAATTCAACCAAGGTGATGCCTAATTTGTCAATACATGTAGATATAAGTGAAGAAAATCAATTAATTATTTACGTGGTCGAGAATATTTTTTTAAAAATTGTTTTAACTTCAACCAAAATTACATTGCTACTCCATCAGCCCAGAGCAAGAGCAAAAGCATACATTAAATAAATAAAGGATATATGGCTCTTTTCGTCTATGCAGACGGTCAATTTAGCTTAAGATGGTCTTCACGCAGCTTCTTCCATGGCTAATTCTTCCTTTATTTGAAGGATAAGCCCTAAAAATCAAAACAAAAAACTTGTTTTGAAACAATGGGGAAAAAAAATCTGTCTCAGACATGCAGACAAACAAAGCAAAAGAAAAACGGCCGCGGTATATCCCTTGTGGTAAGATTAGAAACATAATGAGAAAAACTGAATACAATCAAATATCTCCACCTCCATGATTTTCACAAAATACAATTATAGTTAAAATGATCTCATTCCCTGGAGCCGAAAGAAGGACTTTAAGTAAGAACAGGGGCGCCCGGTGATTTGTGAAACTGACGGGCTATCATTCATATTGATCTCCCCTACCCC